AGATGATAAACATACCAGCCATATACAGCGGCCCGCATACCTCACCACCCATCGTTGTGGCCATCGTGCTCGGAACAGTCGTTGGCTTTGTGCTGGTTGCCTACTTAGTTTATATTTTGTTTAACAAACCCAAAGACATCATGTCTGCCTCCTCAGATATCGTATCAGAAGACTTCCCCCGACCCAGGCGCAAGGCAGCGGCCCGCCGGAAGCCCACAAAGGCAGCAGGTCGAAAGAAGCCTATTATTGTTGACGAAGATGAGCCGGAGCCATACTTTGTTGATGTGCAGGACCCCAACGACCATCGACATGGACGTGCACACTCAGGGTATGGAGAGACCGAATCGCTGGGATACACCGAAGAGACGTCTGAGTCTCACTACCAAGCGCCGAGATCGAAATACTCGCAGGAGATGGCGGAGTCGTATTACGATCCACGCCCGAGTGGCCGAGGAGGACGGGGCCGGGGGAGAAGATAGGAATGGGATGAGGATGAACATAATCTAATGACTGACTTTTGGAGTTGGCGAGGAAATCTGTTAGTTTTGGGGGCTTTTTCTTGTTGTTACTTGGACTCTTCCTGCTCATTCTTTAATGCTTCTTGGTCAAAACTATACATTATGCGGACGAGGCCCGGCACTGCTGGCGCTCGAGAACTGCCGCAAACAGCTCGGCTTCTTTGTACCGAATAGAATTAACGACTTGTCGACTTTTTATATATCTTTTCATGGCCCCTCCCACCAGCCGCCAGCTGAGCCATCAAAAAATACGTGTCTACCATCGTCATGCATGGACGGGGCGCTTAGCCAGACAACCCCATGCCGATGTTTAATATTACACACAGAGAACGGAGCTCCGCGCGCAAGCAGCCAGCCTGATGGACGGAGCGGAGCCATCGTCTTGCAAATCACCGCGACAACTGCCAGGCATGCTTAGCCCCCGTACGGAGTACTTATTGAGAGCTCCACTGCTCTGCGAATCTACCAATAACCGGACACTGACGAGTCCACTCGATAAGCCACAGTTGGGAAACGCCGGCTCACCAAGCCCGAGTCTCAGGAGTTTGACCGGTGCTGAGTCACTGCATAAAAAGCGTGCGTTGTGGCTGGAGGTTCTTGCGTTCCGTCTTTCGCTCTTTTCCATTTCTACCTTCTTTTAGGGCATACAAAAAGCTCGTATCAGCCACGAACACCCGACGCTCTTTTATAAAAGCTACACACTCCACCGCTTCCGACGCAGACACATCCCAGAGAATAAGAGAACTAGAATAATAAAACGGAAGAGAAGAGTCCTGCGTCTTCACCATGGCCGATAAATACGTGAGTCTCTCTCCCTTGCAGCCTTGTCGCTCCTGCTGCTCTGCTTTGCCTCCTTGCCAGTCTTATCTTGGCACACGGCACAGGCTGTGGGCTGGAGTCGATCGATGTGTTGAAGAAATAGCTCGAATCGCGCAGAGCAGTTTTCTTGATGCCTGATAGTAGACGTGAAACTGACCATGATGATGTTCTGGCTTTAGAACCAGCCTCCATCCTACCCGCAGCCCACCCAGGGTCATGCCAACGATTACTATCAGCAAGGCCCTCCTCCCCAGCAGTACGGCCAGCCATACGGCCAGCCCCAGCAGCAGTACTATCCTCCCCAGGGAGGCCCTCCTCAGCAGCCCATGTACTACCAGCAGCAACAACCGCCAGCGGACAACCGTGGCAGCGGCGGCGGCGGTCTCTGTGCCGGTCTCATGGCTGGTATGGCCTGCTGCTGCTGTCTTGATATCCTCTTCTAGACGGCCACTTCACTACCTTGTCAACCTCACACGTCAAACCCATACATGCAATGAGGAATACCCGCAGCAGCGAGAGTCCCTGGGTGGAGGTGATATCTATTTAATACCGACTGGGCCGATAGGTCTCCTCTCCTAGGCCGTGCTCATTACACTGGCTGCCAGCTATCTTTACTGCAACGTATGATAGATACGGGCCTCCTGCGCAAGTTCGGCTGCTGCTGTCCTTACTTTACGCTCCTTCAACCTGGCACAGTTTTCCTTTTTCATGTCTGGCTCCCTTTTCCTTTAAACTCATTGATGAACATGTCTACTGGAACCTCCTGCTTTGCTCTTTCTGTTCTTTCATTTCTTTCACTTTCTTCTTCACTTCTACTTAATTAGAGGCAACGGGTTTTGTTTCCTTCTTACTACCCTTTCTTCTTCTTAACATAAACCCATAACCGTTTCATACGTTTGCTGGTAGTTGTGTGTGTTTTACGGCGGTATCCAGAAAGAAAAGTACCATTGTAATATCTGTTCTTCAGTACTTATTTCTTACTTCTGATTTCATATTGTATCATTTCATATAGATATATTCCTTGGAGGTTCCTAGATGGGTATTTCTAACCACTCGTGTGACCGTTTACTCGATTCGTCTTTTCCCTGCCTATATTTACACATAAAAGATGCAACTATCACTGAAGTTCGACAGCCGGCTAAGTATGGGGAAGAATGACATTGATATTGCTCGGTTTGCGACAGAACTGCATCTTACACAGGCCTATGGGTTCCTGCATCTTTATATGATACAAACTGATCCATAAATAGTTGTAACAAAGGACTTGTCTGTCATATGAAGTACAATAGAGAGGCTAGATAAATTAAATATCCACTTATATTTTTTTGGTTAGTTCTTCCTGAACTTGAAGCTATCTTAGATCACAGGTAGAGAGAACGCTCAAAGACAAATGTAGTTGTGGTGGTGATGGCTTGGGGAGAGTGTATTTAGCATGCATTCAGAATGCATATAGGTAATGTGAAGTCCAGAGAAAGTCCTTAAAAAAATCATCTATTGAGTCTTAGCAGGAGTCTCTGCAGCGTCGACGGTCTTTGCTTCAGTATTAGTTTCAGCAGCGACCTGGGGAGTGCTGGTGCCGCTGGCCTTAGTCTCAGCGGCCTTGCTTTCTTCCTCCAGGCGGTCAATTTCTTCTTGGGCCTTCTTGATGTTCTATAACTGACGTCGTTAGTTTTCACATGCAGACAATACAATATCGTTTATGATGTGTATATGGGCAAGACTCACTTCAGCAGTCTTGCTGGCCTGGTTGCTCTTCCATTCCTTGACCTTCTGGACGAGGGTCTCTATCAAAGCAGGGACATCAGACTGGTTCATTGGAGGTTCAACCTTGACTCTGGACAGGTCTTCGAGGACACCGAAGCTGAGGTTGAACTTGCTGGGCTCTGGCTGAGCAGCAGCAGCTCCCTTCTTTCCCTTCTTGCCCTTCTTTCCGCCAGTGCCGCCCATGAAGTAGTTGTCATCACGGTCGTCCTTCTTTATGACCTTGACGCCCTTGATGTCAGAGTCATCGACAGTTCGGCCAACTTGAGCACGGTAGGCAGCGGAGGACGGCAACTGAGACTTTCCGAGACCGATAGAGGCAAGGTCAAAGGTTGGGTCGAAGTGTCGGATGAGACCCTCGGCAGTGAGAAGTTCGTCGGTGTAAGCGGGCAGAGAGGCCTCCTCAAGCTTCTTGTCGGCGATCTTCTTCTTCTTCTCACGCTCATAGATCTCTCGTTCGGCCTTTTGGCGCTCCATGCGGATACGGTAGGCCTCCTGTTCATATTCCCTGTTTGCTCGTCGGGCCTTGTGGTAATTGTCCTTGATTTCCTTGACGTTGTTCCATGCCCGCTGCTGTTCATTGTGGATCTTGGTTCGTTCGTCACGGAGAGACTTGATGTTCTTGAAGACGGAGTCCTGCTCGCTCTTGATATCGTCGAGTTCTTTCTGGAGGGCAGTGTACTGCTCGCTCAGAGCCTTGGCCTCTGGGTTGTCCAGTCCCTTCTTGAGCGTGGCCAATTGGGCCTTCATTTCGTCAATGGTTTTCTTGCTGTCGTCCATGGAGGAGAAGTTCTTGCGCTGCTTTCGCAGGTTGGATATATCGGCCAGGTTCTTTTTCTCGTCGACAAGTCTCATGGTGCCTGAGTCGACCTCTTTCTCCAAACGCATAATTTCCCTATCGATGTCCTCGACGCTCTTGAATGGCAGCCTGTCGCGTTGGCTCTTCTGCTCGGCGAACCGAGCCTTGATGCTGGCATCGAGAACATTGATTTTCTCCTGGAGGGCTGTGCGGGAAGCCTTGAAGCCCTGCTGCTGCTGGCGGATTGCTGCGAGCTGGCTGCGCAGTTCCTGCTGCCTCTTAGCGACAGGCGAATTCTGGTTGTTGGGAGTAGCTGATTCTATCTTCGCCTTGATTGCTTCCTGCAGAATTCCACTGTGTGAGCCCGGCGCACAATCACGTTAAAATCATTCCAGACCCCGGTTGGATTCCTACCAGTTTCTTCTGAGCAGTCGCCAGGTCCTTCTCCGCATTGGCCAGAGAGATCTTGTAGGCATTCTCATCTGGCTTCTCAGGCTTCACCTTGTGCTCTCCAGGCTGGGCTGGAGCAGCCTGCTTCGCTGTCGTAGCCATAGTTGTTCAGATAGATCGCGGCCGCGTGTAATTCAAATAGTTAAGCGAGCGAACAGCGAAACGGAAAAAAAAAAAGGGTAAAATAGGAGACACTCAAAAGGACGCCTGGCTTTGGAGCAAGCAGCGTCGAGACAGCGTCAGAGGATGTTTTAGACCAGCGAGCAGACGGCCAAAACGACTCTCAGCAACGGACGAAGAAGAAGCAGAATCGAAGAAGAAAAGTCGAAGTCGTCAAAATTGCCCGAAAAAGAAACATTTTTTCCTTCGCTGACTTTCTACAAGTTGGTCTGTGCGTCCATTTTTTTGGTTCTTTTTTTTTTTTTTATTTCTTTTCTTCTTTTCAACGAGTTTTTTTGNNACGTCGAAGAAGAAGAAGAAGAAGAAGAAGAAGACGAGAGTCGACAGGGACACAGACAGAGGCAGGGTCAGGGACCGAGAGCAACAGACAGACAGAGAGACGGTCTAGGGCAGCCACTGCACAGCACGAGAGCAGACGTGGGAAGGAGGACTTTGGAGCTCAAGGGCGCGCAGACGGCGCAAGGACGGGCAGCATGGCAGACGAAGACTACTCCAGGGCCTCCGATGAGGCGGATCGTGAGATGACGAGGCTCTGGCGGACGTGGAGGACGGTGTTCGAGCTGCTGCTGGACCGGGTACGGCTTGATTCTGTGTTGAAGAGCTGCTCTTTTTTTGCAGCTGTGTACACTGCGACTTACGAGCGTTTACTGACAGGATAATACAGGGCTACGAAGTCACAGAGGAAGAAGTCAAGATCTCTCTAAGCGATTTCAAGCAGAGGTACTCTGACGCTCTCGGATTCCCAGAGTAAGTTTGGCTGGCCCTGTTACCTTCGCAGGCTCTGGCAAGTCTAACTGATATCAGCCGAAACAAGATGCGCATCAGTGCTCGTCCATCTCAGGCGATGATGGAGCGATACACTCCCTTGCCTACTCCATCAAAACCCAACACGGTCCCCGAATGCGGTACAATCCACGTTGAATTCTGCAGCGAGACCCAGAGCGTAGGCACCAAGCATATTCGGGCCTTCAATCAGTTCATCGACCAGCAAAACTACCACGCCGGCATATTCATCACCCAGTCACCTATCTCGCCGTCGGCTATCAGGCTGTTGACCGCGATTCCAGGACGGTTCTGTGAACATTTCCTTGAACAAGAGCTTCTTGTCAACATCACTCACCACGAGCTTGTCCCAAAACATATATTGCTCAGCGCAGAGGAGAAGAAGAAGCTGCTGCAGCGATACCGGTTGAAGGAGTCACAGCTTCCCAGAATCCAGAGTGGTGACCCTGTTGCGAAGTACTTGGGTCTCAGAAGAGGGCAGGTCGTCAAGATTATCAGAAAGAGTGAGACGGCTGGAAGATATGCCAGCTACAGATGGGTCACTTAGTCGGGCTTTTATCCAGGGTTCGGTTTCCAGGGTGTCTTCCTTTTTTGTTATGTGCTTTATTTCCATATGGTGCCAGGTGTAACGGTGGATTTTGTTCTATCGTTCGTATTCATCTTTTTTTCTTGTTCTCCTTTCTCTCTGCCGGATCTGAACAGAAACGTATATGATTTATGGGTATGTTGCCGGCATCTCCTTCACCTTGACACGGACAACTGAATCAGTATTCGGTAGTATTCAAAAGCGAAAAGAATTGAAGCAGTGTTCTCGTGCTTGGGACTGGGTCAATCGTTGCCCATTTGGCGGATAGCGCAGGAGACCGCTGTTACCAACCACTCCTGGGTAGCATCATCCTACATGCGGTTTGGATTAGGAATCTAATGCCATTGTACGATCGATCAGTACCTTGCGCCATCTCCTCAAGCTGCCAATCAAGCCGGGTCATCTCGGGGTCAACATCCTGACACCAAACGCAGCCCATACGAATTGTGACATTTCTGCTCGATCTTCTGAAACAGACGAACCCACCAAACTCCCCGTTTCAAATCTGCGTTCATTGCTCAGAAAGATGAAACTCCAGCTTGGTTCTCGAAATCGGCTTGCTATCTACATAATACTTGGCTGCGGATCAGGCTCTGTTCATCGGTAGTTCATCTGAGTAATTCAAGGCTTTCACTGAAAGGGGCAAAAAGGGACGGCTGGGTGTTTCCATCAAGGCCTTCTCAATAATAATAATATCAAACGACAAAACGCCGGAATGAATGATTCCTGCACTTGCAGATTGATTACCGGGGNACAATTTAAAACTTTTTTTAAAAAAAAAAAAAAAAAATAAAAAAAAAAAAAAAAAAAAAAGGAAAAAAGGAAAAGAAACCAATAAATAACCAAATTTCGGTTAACATTGTCTTCAATTGGCCCCCGTTCATATCCAGAACATTTTTGGGTTTTTCTTTCTCTCCATTGTGCATATCTTCTCCCTCCCCTACCTATCAACCGAGTAAGCTCCCTGCAACTACATGCATTTGGTACCAGGCTCGGGTCTATTCCCCTGTCTCTACATTCCTCTTCTAACGTCCATCTTGGGTCTCTTTATATGCCTGCTCTTACTTATCTTCGCCATTTTTTTTTTTTTTTTTTCGCATTATTTAATCTTCTATTCAATTTTCCGTTTACATGTCCATGGACTGGCTATATTTGAATGTGGGCTCTGAGAGCAGCCACACGGGGTTACTCATTTAAAACGGAAAGGGAGGGGTTATCATTTTCATTTCATAAAACAAGGGCTTCTAGTATCTTTTCCATTTTTCTTTGCTCTTCTCTCTTTTTTTTTCCTTTTAGTAATTCTCATCTTTACTATATACCATATTTAGCTGGTAACTGTTGGTCAGGAGGCTATTTTGTCAATATCATTCTTACATGGAGGCATGACATTGCATATCTATATCTACATTGAGCCTTCCGCCTCATTTCTACCGTGTCCTTGCACCAGTTCTTGGAGAAATGCAATGTCTCTCTTGTGGTGTCAAAGGTCCTCAGGGCCCTGGCTGTGCTGGTCCAGACAATTGCAAAGGCTCAACCGTCCACATCGAACATCAACGGCCACTGTCTAACTCTCAAATCTCAACTCCCAGCACTTTGTCGTCTTCCCTTCCGCACTACTGCGGAACCAGAAGGCTCATTAACGCCATGGGTTGCTCGTATTTGTCCTTAGCTCTGCTGCATCGACACTAATAGCGTCCCTCTGGCTGCAGCACGAAGAGGTATGAGCTCGCCCTCATGAGACGAAATGACAGCGTGGTTGGACGGGCAAGATGATCTATCACCATCCACCATCTGTTGACTAGTTGCTAGTTATCGATCCCACCTTGCAGCCATGCAAAAGCATGTCAATTGCTGCAGAACAGCAAGCCAGCTATGACGGAATAGCCCGCGCCTAGGGGTTATCGGACTAGTTAAATAAGCAGCGGCCAGAAACCCCACCAAAAGCCCGCTGCTCCCCCTCGCTCGAACTAGTGACAAAACACGAACTATATAAACGTCCACAGCAATTCCCACCGGGACAACAAACCATCACCACGACTGCCATCCTTCATTATTCCAGCTCCTCTTCCTTCTCGACCGTCGCAAAGTCCCCAATCAGCCACCATGGCCACCTATAGCAAGGCTTGCTGCACGTAAGTGTCTCTCTGCTGATGCCGAGGCGTGGTTGCGGGGGATTCTAACCCGATTGTACGAGAAGACTGCCCCCAGTGGTTGACACTGCCTATGAGCCCAAGGGTAAATATGAGAATATCTGTGGCATGAAGACTTGTAAGTCGATCTATATTAGCCTGTTCTACGAGACCGCTAAGCTAACTGCCTGCTCTTAGACGTTACTGGGCCGGAAACCGCCACGGAAGCCATCCTAGTTGTATACGGTGAGTTGGGCTGGATACACCCCACTGAATATATCTCAAGGCACATCAATCTGACTACAGGACACAGATATCTTCGGATTCTTCCCGCAGACCCTGCAGGGAGCGGACATCATGTCCACCTCTGACGCAGAACGCAAATACCGAGTCTTCATTCCCGACTTCTTCGACGGCAGTCCCGCTGACATCGCCTGGTACCCCCCAGACACCGACGAGAAGAAAGAGAAATGGGGCGCCTTCTTCAAGGACAGAGCTCCTCCACCAAACACCCTTCCTCGCATCCCCCAGGTTGTCGAGGAGATCAACAAGAACCACTGCCCCGGTGGCGCTGGTTTCAAGTCATGGGGTATTGTAGGGTACTGCTGGGGAGGAAAGATTACCTCTCTCCTCTCTGCCAAGGACACCCTCTTCAAGGCTGCTGTCCAGGTTCATCCTGCCATGATTGATCCCAAGGAAGCCCTGGAGGTCACTATCCCCATGTGTATTCTGGCTTCAATGGATGAAGATCCCAATGAGATTGAGAAGTATAAGGACAACCTCAAGGTTGAGAAGTTAGTTGAGACCTATGGTGACCAGATCCACGGCTGGATGTCTGCTCGAGGCGATTTGAAGAACCCCACTGTTAAGAAAGAGTATGAGAATGGGTACAAGTCCGTTATTGCCTTCTTCAGGGCGCATTTGTGAGAGATCAATCCTTACCCCGTTCAATGTATATGTCTTCGGTGGCATACTCCTCTTTCTGCAAAAAGTATCGATGAATGGTATCTTTATGAGAATGGATTGACCGTCACCCATTTTGCAAGCCATAACCCGTGTCTAGGACCTCTTAAGTAAAATAAATAAAAAAAATAAAAAAATAAAAATATATGATGCATATCTTTCAATTGTATCGCCTCTTCGGGCCAGATTAAACAAATGCAACATATATACAATTGCAAAACGGAAGTCCAAAAATTTTAGATTCACACATTATTGTTATAGTTATCCTTTTTCGTCTTCCTTACCTTGCATATAGTTATCGCCTACCAAAGCGCCCAACTTACACCATGTAAATTCTCCGTACACGCCATCGTAGCCACACCTGCATAGCCACCGCTCTACTTGTTAACTACTTGGCCACACTCGCCACACTAGCAACACTAGCAACACGGATGACCACGTTAACATCAACCGCTCTCGCTTCTCGGATACTGCATGCTAAACAAGTCCGTCCAACTCTGGAAATTACCGCATCTGTACAGACGGCCGTACACCAGGCTCGTGCAAAGGCTTCTTTATCCTTACTTCCTCTCGCATCAATGATGTATGTAATTGGTCGGCGACGACAGTGACGTCGTTTCTCCTCCGAGAGTGAATGGCGGTGTCTCCCCATACCTGAGGAACGACGCTCATAGGTTCTCGGGGGCTTGGGCGGGAATTCTGTTACACTTGGCAACGAAGCGATGGGGATATATTTGTAAGGGTAGAAGGAAGTGTGGAGAGGGTGTCCTGGGACGCGGAAGCTGTTTGTTCGTTGGATACGCGGGTTAAGGGGGCCTGTGCTAGGTGGTTCGGGCCCCAGGCTCCAGTCATATGTGTCTTCATCGTCAGGGATAGGGGGCTGGAAGTGTCTGTGATACTCTGATGAAGAGTCTGGGTCTGTATTGTGTTTTGTGGAGTGAGCGGCCCACCCTCGCGGTGGGAGGCAAGGGAAAGAAGAGATAAATAGCGAATTCTTGCTTAGCGGGAAGAGAACCTTTCGTGGTTTCGACTGGGGGGTGGCCTTGATAGTGAAGAAAGCGTGGGCGGTGGCTTTGAAAGGGAGACGTTTACTTGGGCCATCTCGTTCGGACCTGGAAAGGGTGATGTTATCAAACACCACACTTGTTTGATGAATATGATCCGAGTCTGCGTCTGAATCATCATCCATGGGCATGCAGAATTGCTCTGGTGTAAGCTCACCGCCGGGTCCTAGTGGCGAGGAATCAAGCAGGATCTGTGTCGTCTTATAGATTCGTGGCACCGTTAGGCCACGCGTGTCATCTGTCAATTCGACTTCTACCCATTTGTCTGTATGGTTCTTGCCTTCCTCGTCATGGGGGACGACACGGCTTGAAACCCACCCCATACAAGTGGTAGACCCATCTAGACAACTGACAATTCTCGAGACAACACACTTCTTACTCCACCAGCTTCGGCCCCTATATATAAATCCGCCGTATAGGTTGGCTACCGGGCCGAGGGCTCTGAGAGCATGAGCGTCGTTCTCCAACAACGTCGACATGAGCATGTCATTGATAGCTTCCCCCGGCAGAACAAATCCGCTTAGCCATGAGCGAGATATCCACCCACCAAAACATGTTGTTGAGGTTGAAGCAGCGTGATGTTGAGATGGCGTAAGAAGCAGAATGAGATGAGAAGTGTTAGAGTTTTCATATGTTGATAGCCTCCTGCGAGGTAAGTCTTCCCCTGTCAACTCTTTGGTGACCAGCGGCGTTGAAAACGTTCGTATCATAGCAGCAGGGTCAGCTACAACGGTATCATACTTTTTCTCCAACTGGCACTTTATCTCCTCTGCATCCGGCCACTGGATTACGCTCATGAACGCAAATAGACCGTCCAATTGCTTCTTGAAAAACCGGGGTCTCGTAACGCAATCCCATGTAATTTGGGTATCCACTGGTTGTTGGCCCCGCGCCTGTTGCGTCCGCTTTTCGTTAACTTTTCCGCGTGTTAGGATCTGTCGAATTCGGGATGTTGGCCGTTCCAGTGGACGGTCAGGAGGCAGAGCAGGTTCAAGCCGTCCACTTGTGGGGGAGTATTTGATTGTCAGGTTTTCAAAGGCTCTCCGGCAGCAGATGATTGCCCAGTCGACTTGGTCATTCCTCATGTCATTGATATGGTATATGTCCTTCTGGGTAATTATTCCTTTCGGTCGACCCATAATGCCGACTTTAACAGCAGCATCAAGCCGCAAAACTAATTCGGCAGCTAGAAGAATTTGTATCAAAAGCCAGTGTCTCTCGGCATTAATACTAATGTCTGAACCTCCTGGATACTGGTCCTCGATAACTCCGTCGCGGTGTGGTGGACATTCCCAAAGGATCTGACCGGCACGGATTCTCCATTCTATCTGGGAAAAGTCAATCCAGGCATCCTTAACGGCGAGCACTCTGACGAGGGTATCAATTTGAGTCTTGATACTGGTGAGCTTGAATGCATCTGCGTGTACTTGCTTGGGGAGAGGGAAAAGGAAAGTAGAAAATAACCCCTGATGGAGCTTGGTTATGGATTCTACGTCAAACAAATTGATCGGCTTGGCCTTGAACACCATTTGATCCCGTAAATCACAAAGGGTTTCTAAGCGCTGAGCAACCTGTTTGGGAGAACAATCGCGGACCCCAAGACGCCTCCAGGCAGGCGGGCCGCCGCTGATCAACTGTGCACGACTGAAGCGGATACCGGGCCGACAACAGATATATGGCTCGTTATTACCTGTGGGAGTTGTGTTGAGTACATTGGTATTACTTTCTATGAGAGTGATGCCTGGTGGGGTATCAGACTTGTCCTTGAGCTTTGGGGAAATTGGAAGCTCCATATAATGACGAAAACCAACACAGCCTCTCTCCTTGGCACGAGAGGAGAGCATGTTGGGCACTTCGAAAACGCCGATATCAAAGGCTGGATGTTTGTTTGTTTCCAACTCAGTCAAATCTGGGCTACCTCCGGGTGTTTTCCTGCGCTCCAGAAACGCTGGGAGATGGGCATGCAGCGTGGATAGCGTAAAAGAGGCATGATGCAACGGTTTCCGGTCCTGAAGGTTCTGGATGCGGGTGCTATCATCCCAGGGGAAGACAACATGTGGGAACCAATGGCATCGACTACCCTTCTCGAGCAAGAAATGGGGGGCGCCGGAAAATATGACCCTAAGCTCCTCTCCAGATAGAGGGGAGTTCTCTGGGTGGACGGTGCATCCTATATTCGAGCACCTGCTTGGGCTGGGCGTGGATGTAGTATCCTGAAGGGCATCGCTGGCCTGGCATTCCGCCTTGGTCATAGGAGCGTGAGAGAAGATACGATCCCTGACATTATCGACAAAGATCTCGGGGTAGCCTGGGACGTCTGCGTCGCGCTGTTTATGGGGGCGATCATGTTCCTAGTTCTGGTTAAACATTTTGGACCACAGGAAAGCAGTGGAAGCACAGCAGGAGATGGCAGTAACAGGAACAGGAGACTAAGGAGGGTGAGATATCACAGGTTTATGGTGGTGGCCATTGTATTCCTGGCCAGATAGTTCGCGTTCATGCTCGGTGGCATCAATTGCTTCCGTTGAGGCCGAACAATCCGTCCACTGCGAGGATTCCGAGTCTACAGATTCAGATTTGGAGGACCTCCGGCCGCTGCCAAAGAGGGAGTGGCGCAATCGAGATGTCCTGGACCTCCTTTTGCGTAATGGCAGCTCCCGCATAGTGCAACGCTCGGGGCTTTGTGGATTATAGGCTATAGACTCAGTTGACTATGTCACAGGCAGGTGTGAGGTCAGACAGATATCAAGGACAACCCATGGAGCTCAGCGGCGTTCTCGAGAGCAAATCTGGAAACAGGACGGAGTAACCATCAGTTTTAGGTAGACCAGCTACGCATCCCTAGTAGTTCGCATCCGTGGTTAGCCCTATGATGTTATGGGATGCCACTGCCATGGCCGGAGGTAAAACTTCTCTTCGCCACAGTCGACTTTTAAATTAGCAGCCTCCGGAGCCTCTTCTTGCACAACACAACCACTTCGTATCCCGGTATCACCATCCGTTCCTCGGTCTGCAGAGATTTTCTTCTTCGTCCGCTTCTTCTCTCTCTTCGTCCGCGCTGTCTTTTCCATCTTCTCGTGGTTGATTGTATGAAATCTAGCCAGCCAAAGGGAAGAAAAAAAAAAAGAAAGAAAAAGAAAAAGAAGAAAAAGAAAGAGAAGAAGTCGAAGATTTCCCAGTTGGGGCGAGGCGGTGAAGACCGGCAACCGGGTCACGGGAGCGGCAATACAGTCCATTACACCGATACACGCCAACGAACCCCTGGTTTGGCTGGTGTAACGTGACCTGAGTGGCGTAATTAATACATCGTGATACGAATGCCCCTTTCGTTGTATATCAAAAAGAACAAAAACATGCGGACAGGGAGTCAAACAGGCAAAACAGACATTTGTCGACCAGGAAGATGGGGAGAAAAGGCCGGTGAGAAGAGGGTGACATGGCCCCTGGGACAAGAGGCGCAACTGTCCGCGCGGATCTCGGGCATGTGCCGTTCTTTCAGCGCAGGGATGAATCTCCCTTAATATATATACTGATGCCTTCTTTACGGACAGTTTCTCTTAAGTATAACTAAATACGGGTGCATTGTAGTAAATTGGGAACGAAGTGGGCATGGAGGGTCGTACATCTCCCAGACAAAGATAACGCCTCAGAAGCCTGACGCCTGACGCCTTACGACTGACGAGTGACGGCGGCGACCGGCTTAGCGCTGGGATGGCCGCAGCCCCTGACCAAGTTAACTCCCCAGCATGTAAGTATGTGCTCCATCCAACAAGGGGAGAGAGAAGACGACGCCAGCGAGAGAGTGACAACGCAGCATCTCGAAACTTCACGGGCGCCCCTCCTTAAACTATTCATAGAAGTAAGTAGTAATAATCCTGTAAGTATTGCTACCTCTGGCCACCACCACTGCAGGCATACCTTATACCTGCCTAGTTATATGTGAGTAAGCATGTACATGGACATGGGCATGGGCATGGGCATGGCGTGGGTTGCCCCATACTTACAAACGAGCGAGCTCACTAGTTGAGCTTCTCCGTACTCCGTAACTAGCTCAAGCAAGTCCGTAACTAAGTCACTCTCTTGCTTGCGCTGATGATACATTGAAGGGGAACGCAGAAGATGAGCTCCACCAGAACCAAGCAAAGCAAGCAACCCGACAGCGTCCTCCTCATGTGGTCGCTTGGATCGCCTTAGCCTCGCCTCTCTGTGCCATTTCTTCTTTGCTCTTCGGTCTCTGTCTCCTCTCTTCTTCTGCCTGCCCCGGACCATCACTGGAAAAAGGAGTTTTCTCGCCTTTTATAAAGCCCTTGCCTCGCCCGTTTTCCCCCTTGCCTCGCTCCCCTTTTTCCTCTCCATCCCTTATCTACCAACACCACAGCCAGCTGCCGCTTCTCTGCTGCCTGTCAAGGTACCTGCAGACCTGCTCACGCACTCCCTCTCTTCCTCTCTCTCTCCCTCTCCCTCGTCATTCCTCTTCTGCCATACTACTGTCTGACCTCGACTCTCACTGCTACACTGTAAGTCGTCTTCCTCCTCGTCTTCCTCTTCTCCGTCTCCGTCCGAGTATCGGAGCGGCAATCTCTCTTACTCAGAAGCCTGATAGCCGGACCCAGAGGCTAACGCTCCATTCCAGTGTTCAGTCATCAGTCATCAGTCATCAGTCGTCGGTCGTCGGTCATAACCGGTTTTGCCGTACGAGCTACGCCGTCTCGTACAAATTGTCCGGTCAATCCTCCCCATAAAGGACACAGGGCAACAGACCTCAAAAAGCGTTCGCCTCCCTCTACTTCCGCCGTCTACACTCCTCAAAAGAGACATGGCCCCATCCAGAAAGCCACGTTGCCAGTTCAAGGCCTGCAAAGAGCTTGCTCAGCGTATAGTCGGTGACTGCGGTTTCTGCAAGGGCCAGTTCTGCAGCAAACACCGCATGCTGGAATCACATAGCTGCAGCGGCCTGGAAGACTGCAAGAAAGAGTCACATGCCCGTAACGCTGAACGGTTGAACTCTGAGCGAACAACGGTCGTCAAGGGAGTATAGCGAGCCATGCTTGTTGTCTCCTTTTGTTGAGTCCGCGTTTCAACATGCTTTATATTATCATCACTACTACTACCCTGGGACCGGCGAGCTTGTTACGGAGGGTGTCGGGGTCAGGAGGAGTCCTCTTCTTTTATTCATATTGTTGGGACTTTGGGGGGTGGTGCTCCGGTGGGTTTTGGTCTTTGGGATAATATTCTTGGATATTGTTCTCCTTCCCCTTTTCCCTTCTGCCTATCGACTGGGAATTCCCCATACATCTGTTTCCGTGCTGCTCTTCTAAGCTCTGCAGCGTACTGGCTTATATCCCGCCCCCCCTTTTTTTTTTATTTTTTATTACAGCCTGGGGTCTGGCTCGGTGTTTTTCATTCTGCTTCCCTTTTGGCTATTTTTGCATGGTGTTTTGGCCTGGTTCATCATTTTCTCTCCCATTTAGCCTGTCTTATCTTTGATGTTTTGCTCTGTTACTTTTGTGTGTTGAAAGACCATTGTTTGTGATATAAATGGGTATTTGGCTACCAAATAATATCAGATGTTATAGACCCTATGCTCTCCCCGTACGTGTCCGTGCCAGTGTCTAGTAACTCTAGATCACACAAGAAAAGTAATATATCGTAGATGCATATTCAAATCCACAGACTTGAACTGAAGCGAAGACAAAGAAATACAAGGCAGGAAAAGCAATAACTCCCAAGTGTTATCCTGGTCCAATTCTCGGCCTATGAAGCGATTCCATGTCAGCCTTGCAAAAACAACGATAACAGCGCAAAAGTCAGTCAGAACTCACATGTCGTGGTGTTCACTCAGGTTGCTGAGGTACTTGTTCAACTCCTCCACCCGCTCTTTATGCGTCTTGACACCCTCTCTCTTCAGTCGTTCGTTGAGCTGTACACACACGGGACAATCGTAAGCTTAGGCCTCCCATTGATATAAGTAAACTAGGTAGACATACCCTCTTCCTCTTTGCCTCAGCATGTCTCCTCTCAGCTTCAGTCTTGCCGTCATCACCCTCAAGAAGCTCACTAACACTCCGACTCCGTCTATCCTTTTCTTCCTTTGCGTTAGATGCTTCACCGACAGCTGCGTCTGCTTTTTCCTCCTCCTCCCCTTCCTCCTTTCTCATAGCAACGTCTCCCTCCTTATCTCTCTTCTTCTTTTTCTTCTTCTTATCCACACGCCCGTCTTGTACCTTGGAGCCCTTGATCTTCAGCCGGCCTCCTCCGCTCACTGCGTACTCGCTGGATGGTGCCATGGCTTGCGTCGACGGCGAGGGGAGGAGGGGTGGTACGGTGGTATAGTAGGCAGCACTTAACCAGGCTTGTTCGCTGATCGCGCTGACTTGGCTATCGATTGGTCTGCATCTCTGGGCTTTTCTGTACCGCTGACTTCAATTCGCCGGGCTGGTTCTTCTTGCATCGCAAACGAGGAAGAAATCGTTTTGCTTCGACAAGGTTAAGCTGCATGTGATTACGTAATATGGGCATTACGTCATTCTGCAAAGATACAAACATCCATGTAGTTAGCTTCAGTAGATTTGTGTTTACTCAAGTTACTTCAGTCTTCAGGCGGATAAGACGTTGAATGTTCTTTTTTTTCATTAGTGGTATGACTATATCTTAATGCCTACTGGCTGGCTAGGCTGTCGGTAACATCACGACAATAGCCACATTTACATGATCAATCAAATGGGATAGGCCGTAGCTCCGAACCTCCCTGTCGTTTCCTCATCTCTTCACCTGCAGCTGCAGCACTAGGCACCTTGATGCCACAGCAGTCACCCCAAAAGTCGACGCCATTAGAAGACTTATTGTGAGAGTGGTCATGGCAAGGGCCATTGCCGTGGCTGTGATCATGTATGCCCTCCTGCGGCTCCCGAACGCCCATCTGCTCTGTTGCAGGAATCAAGCTTCCGAATAGGAAATGTTGCATGATGGGCAGTTTTCCCAGAACTTCCTTGGTAAACATTTTCTTCATGCCGGCCTCTACCTTGTACCAGTTCTTGGCACCGGATATGTCATCTAGCATGGGACTATGCCACCGTAGGCCCTTTACGGTCTTTACGCTGTCCACCCATTTCACTTGATCAAGGTATATCCATTTTCCGCACTCTTCGTCGAGGACGACATTGTTGTGTATGGATAGGGGGGTTATGTAGCGATGGCCTGTCAATTGCGATGCGCCAAAGAGGAATGGGAGGAATTGGTAGTCGTCCAGGCCCCAGACACCATGGGACCCGGCTGGTTCAAGGTAGTATGTTAGCTGGATGCGGCGCATAAGCTCGATATAGCGAGTGAAGACACGGCAGACTAGAAAGGGGAAATCGGGGGTGTCAAGCATGCTGAGCTGGTACAAACACAGCAACCACATCATGAAGTTGAGCTCGTGGCCGGAGCCGTAGTCGAGACGGGAGCGCGAGCCCAGAGAGTTGACTAGGTATGTTGATATCTCGGCTATAACAGCCTCGTCAGTAATGCCCAAGAGCTCCTTGTGCCATGATACGCTATGAGACTCGACATCGTCAAAAAGCGACCGGAGCGCAGGGTTGCCGAAGCGAGACCCGCCCTGGTCAAGGGATGGGTGGGCATCGAGCAGCGAATCTATTGATGATAGTATCTCGAGAATCTTGGATATTATGGGCGATGGTGGCGAGGTAGAACTCGGCTGATCGAGAACATCTGGTATGGACTTCTGGTGCACGCTGTCTGACAGGTTGAACACAAAGGCCGTGACCAAGTTGTACGATGGCGACGAGAGGAAGGATTGGTGATCTTGAGCAGAGAGAATGCGAGGAACAGGGCGCGTATACTTCAGATCTCCTGTTGCAGGACGAGGGGGCATCGATGGGGTTGGTGGCGCTGAGTCGCCAGCGGCAGGCTGCCGTCGAGGGCCACCAGTTCGCGTTAGCTTCTTTGACAAGTCGATTTTGGGGATGGAAGCAGAGGCACGCAGCGGTGGTTCCTGGGTAGACGACGCCATGATGCTTGACCTTCTGCTCGCGCGGCGTCTCTCTGCGTCTGCGTCTTCTGGTTCTTCGTCTCTGCTTCTTTTTTGCTTCTTTGCTTCTTCTGCGTTTTTGTCGTTTTGGGGTTTTGAAGGTTGAACCCGTGACGGATGACGTAATCAAGCATAAATTAAGTATGAAATCAATCAGGCAGATCGAGGATGCAGATGGAGAAGAATGACAGCTGGAGATGCGAAGACGACGATGCTGCTGGACATATTAAAGTGCTCCATAGATCAGCGTATCCAGGCGAAGATCAGGTTGTCCATGGAGTGCGATTCATTGTTATTATTGCATGGTAGGTGGAAGTGCCCTACTCTGATTGTCATCTAGCGCCAACACTAGAATAATCTATGTCGATGCAGAACAGCGCTGTAAGGGGGCCTCAACCCTGGTAAAGTAGTCAGAGAGCTCATCATCTGTTGCTTGTAAAGACTGTGTCAGATGCAGAATTGAGCGAGTAGCCGGATAGAGCAGTCAATCGAGTTTCCATATTCCCAAGAGTTGTGTAGAGACATGCTCACATGAGGGGGGTCTCTTCTAAAGCAGGCTGGAGATATATCCCTGCTTGCCCAGGACGCCTGTTGACTGTTGACTGCTGCAGTCTCATGATCGAGCCAGGCGAGATGCACGTACATACTCCGTACATATAACCGAAGAGGAGGAAACCGCCGTCAATGGGTCCAAAATGCCGAAGTATCTAGATTCATCCTCAGCTCTGCCCTCGCCCAGACACCTATCATATCTTGGGACGGTCGATGCCTGCACGATGGCTCCCCCTTGCACCTTGCACCCTGCACCACGGCGCGCCTGATCCAGTCAGCTCACAAGCCATGTTTTTTCTCCTTCAGCCATCCATTCATTCATTTGCTCTGAGGGTTTCGCCGTCTCTCACCCGCAGGCAGCCCTGGATTGCGCCTCTGTCACACCCAGACCCATCCTGCCAGGCCTCTTGGGGACTAAATCCCCCCTCTCGAGCCCATCGTTACTCGGCCAGCCATGCGCATGTCCAATAAGATGCAGCGCGCCGTCGCCACTAGTCAAGCGACTGTCGACCTATATCAGCTCGACTAAATCACTAACGTAGCTGCGAAAGGGCGATCTGAACGCGGAAAACTCTGCTTGGTGGGCCCGTCCACGCAGACGGGAAGGTCAAAGAAGGCCAGAGAAAGAGAAGAGCCTTAGCCTCGAGCGGCGCTCACCGTTGATGATGTTGATATCGATGTTCTTTTGTAGTTGTGGTGGTGCTGCTCGGAAGGGCGAGGTCGGAGGATAAACCCTCTTGTGAGACGGAGGTCAGCCAGGAACGCGCAAGACCATGACGACAAGGGACAGGAGACAGACCAGTTGACTGTAAAAGGAAGGGAAGGGCAAAAGGGATAGGGACAGATGCACAGTTGATCGAATGCATGATCAGCGGCCAAGCCCATCGGCCGGAGTTTTTGGCCTTGCTGGGTGCTGCATCCTGGACGAACCCTGGGCTTGGTCGTGGGAGAGCGAGCGAGCTGTACCTATATACAACACCACACATGCACTCACTTCCGCCCGCTGCCGCCGCCGCCGTCCTCCTTTTTTCGCTCTATATGCTTTTCGTGCCTTTTCGTGGTCCTTTTCTATCTTCGGCCTCGTTCTATTCTCGTCGTCTAGACAAAGGACGCCCCCCTCTTCACCGTTTATTCCGCAGTCAGCCCACCAATTAGTGGTTGGTGGTAGCTCCAACCAGCACCGTCCCCCCCGGGCTGAGAGAGCCAACCAACACGCAGTCCAAGAACCAACACATAGCCGCAGAGGAATAGAAGCACGAAGAAGCGAAGCGGAAGAAAAGCTAGGGCCTAGACAACCATGGCTAACTCGGCGACGGCGACGACGAGGTCGGGCTCACGACCTAACTATGGATCATTCTCTTCACCTGCAGAAGCAGACTCGCATTCTGATTCCGGCTCGTCTACACTGTCTAGAGATTCTATGGAGTCTACACATACTGCTTCGAGGCCGCAGTTCAGCAGGATAAGAACGCACCAGTCGATAGTTCGTGAGCGCAGCCCGATGGACAATAGCGTGGATGGACAGGGTGCGCCAGGCGCTGGAGGCGCTACACCAGGTGCATCTGATAACACCCACAACAATAATGCTAATGGGAACAACATCGCCAATGGTGGCACTATACCCCGGCAGAGAGGTGCCTCTTACTCGTCCCAGCGGTCTAGGAAAGGAAGCATACACCAGGATCAGCCGTCGTGGTACAGACGCATACTTGAGAAGTACGGCAGCTTGGAGCTGGAAAACAAAGGCAGCGTTGCCAGAGACCATCTCGCCCTGGGTATGTTACTATCTATTCTATCAGAGCTATTCTGTTCTACAAGTATGGAAACTAATGACTGGTAGAACGCACATTCCTCTCATGGCTACGAACATCTCTCGCCTTCGCCTCCATAGGGATAGCAGTGACTCAGCTTTTCCGTCTCAACACCGCCATCCAGCAGCTAGATCCCTCGCAGAACAGTCCCAGCAACCCGTCTGCTCTCCTATCAGAACATTACAGAGAAACGTCCAAGGGTCTCTACTTCACCATCACAAGCAACAGCAGCCAACTGCGTGGTCTTGGAAAGCCGCTAGGCGCCACCTTTATCGGGGTAGCTATCCTCGTCCTCTTCATCGGCTTCCACCGCTATTTTGAGAGTCAGTACTGGGTGGTCAGAGGGAAGTTCCCTGCCAGCCGCGGTAGTATAGCCCTGACAGCATTTATTACTGCGTCTCTCATGGTCAGCAGTTTGGTCATCATCCTTACTATATCGCCGGGTGCGACCGAGTCCTAGAGGAATTCCCTCTCATACTCAAGGAGAAAAAAAAAAAAAAATAGCAACCTTATATTCAACACAAACGGCGTCGTTTTTATACTCAGTTACATGCATTTATGCGGAGTTCATCGAGTTCATATTCCTTTCCTCCTCTTGTTGGATAACTGGGAACAACAACGAAGGGCCTCGTCACATCACATCTTGCTATCCATCAACCTACCTGGACCCTCGAAAAGCAAAAACAAAAATTGCCAGCTTTGCTTATCTGGTCATCAGTTTGTTTTCGGTGTTATGTTAGCGAGGCGTCAGGGTTTGGACTTCTTTTGCTTATATTTTTGCTTCTTTTACCCTGCATTGTACATCTACTTCTTGTTCTTGCTTTTCCTTCCGTTATGCTCTTCTTCGAATACCCCGCCTATCGCCGGCTTTGGTTCACTCTTTTTGTTTCGTTCTTTTCTCCATCTGTTGACTTGTTCATTTTTCATCCATAAAATATCTTTCTTGTTCCTCCAATTTTCTCCTCTTCGGATATTACTCTGAGTGCCTTGATTCACATTACGTATTATCAAAACTCCCCTGTAGCCATCCAGGAACTCGCCTCGTTGAAATAAACGTAACTTAAAAAAATGCAACCAAGTTTTTTTGGCCAACTGTATCTTTAACCTGCCAGGCCTATCCATGCCTCTTAAGGACGAGTCAACCAATAACAGCTTCTGGCTCAAATATCATTCCTGCATATCGATACGAAAACGCAGATGGATCAATGTGGAGCGATGTGGCTGGCTTGCCCACGAAAATGCTTGGTATATCTTAATTCATCCCGAGGCATCTACCGAAATTGTATATCTGGATGTTCTTCAATTTATGCATGAGTCCAGAGGTGGTAGTTGGTTATGGGGTTGGTAGATTACTCCCAGGCCGAGGTCTGCCACCTTGCCTTCCGATGAATCCATCCTTCGACTCCGTCTTCATTCATTTATAGCCATTTCTGGATATCGTGGGTTTGGCATCTCTCTGGGAGTATTTGGCAACGGCAAGCTAGATGGACCATGACGGGAAAAGAGCTGCAAAACAGGATTCGATTATATCAATTGCAAGGAGATACCATATGCTCCTTTTTAAAGCGGAATCTGCCCATACGCCAACATATCTCATTTAGCCAATGAGAGACGGCATAACATTGAGTTAGCTTAATATCTCGCCTTAGACTGCTAGGAGAGTACTCCGTAGATATCATACAGTGGCCTGAGCAGACATCAAGTCAACGGTGGAGACTGTTGCACTGCATCTGGATATTCCCACCGAGTAATCCATATAGTACAGGATACCAGCCGGAAAACTGCTCCGTAACGGGCTTCGCTGTATTAACGCTGCTCAAGACGTAACGGTGGATGCCCATCCTTAGGCACCAAAGGTATCACAAGGAACAATAGTCCAGGCCAACAATAAGTTCATCACACATACTTCTGCAGAAGATATTCGCATCTTCGTTCTAGGCGTGTCTAGGATGGGTATGTTATGTGGATTGAACTGCTGCACAGTGCACCAAGAACTGGAGGCGGTGTGCTGAGGAACGGTCACCGCTATCGTGGAGAATGGTCATGTCAAACTGTTGAGATTTGACAGCTAGCAATGGTATACAGTTAGCAAAAAAAGGGGTATGCATAGAATTCATCTATTATATCCAATGCCAAATATCTTCTTTTTCTTTTGCAAAGGAACAATGCCTTTGTTGTAGTCGTGATCTTCCAATTATTTCTTTCCATGCGATATTTCCATAATCGATGTGATGACATAATCCACGACATAATTTATGACATAAGCCGTATCTTATTAATATTTGTCACATGATCAATGCTTAGTAATAAGTTTAAATGTGTTATCCCCCCTTTTGAGATTGAGGTCGTATCAAAATAAGTGCAAAACGCGCTTCTCCAGCCGCAGGTAATCTTGTTGTCTCGACGGCCTAATTTCAAGGTACCTTGGAGATTGGCTTGATGAGAAGAGGTGTAGGATGAAACGTGGCGTCCTGACGAATATCCAAACTTGGGGGAACCTTTTTGTTGTTACCATGGAGATCGCCAGCAACGGTTGGTGAAGGAGTGGATTCAACGTCCCACCTTTATCAAAAGGCTCTCTACATCAAACCAGGCTACGCAACGTTAGTACGTTCACTGCCCACGATGGAGTCGGCGGGTATATTCGGCGGCTGCCTTAATTTTCGATGAGCTAGTTCAGAAGCTGCTAGTGCGCGGTCGATAACGCTGTTATCGCCAAAAGCCCTTCATACCTCGCAAGTGTCTTGTAGGCAGCACAGAGTATTATATTGGGTAACGGATCGTGAGTACGGAGTACGGAGTATGGGTTTGGGGGCATCTCAAGGTATCGTATGTGGATACTAAGCGAAGACATCGCCCGAAGTGAGGAGGCAAAACGATAACGATCGCGAGCATGGATTTATACGAGATTGATATTCGATGACAGGAAGAGAGAAAAGCCGGAAAAAGCATAGTTGGGGTAAGCAAACTAACTAGAAAAGCAAGTTTTAGTTCTCCAGCGTTCAGTTGATTCCGGTTCAGTTCGTTTGCCCCGAGATTTCGTTAACGCTGCCTGGTTCCGGTCTGCTTCACTAACCTTACGAACAGGTCATCTGTCCAATTCAATCCCAATAAACTTTCGTATATGAGGAAACGATGGGACGGGCACGCCAGTTCGAGAGCTTGCCTTATCTCGAGTAGCAGGAGTCGAGAAAAGAAAAAAAAATGTGATGGATCGAAGTTCGCAGTTAACTAACTGAGCATGGCGATGAGAGAAGAAACTGGGGGGTAGTACATGACGGCGGGCGTGGCGAGCGAGCCATGGATGAGATGAAAGGTTCCGCCGCCATTATTGGGATTGGGTTCTGTCTGGTCGAACTCTGAAATTCGCGTTTCCTTGTTTCGTTGTTCTCGAAGAATCAACGGAATTGGTGAAGATATGCTCCGTTTGGAAGGGGAGGGGAAAAGGGCGGTTCTGTTGATCAGATAGGCCTGGCACGGATGTAACATGTAGCCGGTACTCCTTTTACCCTTCTCTCCATGACCCAGCAGGCGGCTGAGACGGCGGGTGACGGATAGCCCTGTTCATCCCATGGCGATCGATGCCGACGGCGAGGGATCAGGGTTGGTAAAGAGGGTAGAAGCAAAGAACTGCTGAGCGGCAGTTGACCAAGAAGAATGAAGACGCATTGACGGCCAGGGATGCAATGTCTGAAGTAAGTAAGTAGTTACGAAGTGTTGACACTGATACTCGGCACATCAGAGCGGTGATACAGAGCACAGCACGAACACAGCACAGCTCAGTACGGGACAAGGTGTCAAAAACCGGCCCTGCAGAAAGGAACAGTTGTTCTTTACGGCAACCCTGCACAGGCAGCAGGAAAGCAAGTACTACCGGCTTTCCCAACTGCTGTGTTTCCTTCGTTGAACAACAGCGAAGGGAGAAGGAAGAAAGAGAGAAAAATGGGATGGGTTCAATAAGACATTTTAACGTTGGACATTGTCCTTCGTTCGGAATGCTGCCGTTTGATCTGATCTTCTCTGGGGAACTGGGAACTGGAGAAACCGTTGATTTCCCATGTCCATATGTAACCTGCGCTATCTTAACGAGTTTACATATATGCAGTGCTATAAGCCAGGTTCGTTATGCATTCTCCTTCTCCCTTATTTCCAGTCAACGTGATGTCGTGGAAGTTGGGTTGGTTGGCAATTGAAATTGAATAATGAGACGACAAAAAGACTAGCTTTTTTGTTTGGCCTTTCTTGCCCCTTAAAGGACGATCCTTGTATCCCATAGGCGTTGGCATCCAGGTACGCCCGTCCGCCGCTGCTTAGGGTCGTAAATACAGAAGTACTGTACTTACTAAGTCATCACCCATGCCCTGCCGGGTCCCTGTCGTCGGTCAGCACCAAACGAGATGAAGAAAACACCTCCATGTGCGGTGGGTTTAAATTAGTTAACTAACTAGCTAACAAGCTAGTTAGTTAATATGCAGATTCAAAGGGCGTATCGTATGCCTCTTTATGCGTGCATTAACCCGAGGGAATAATCGCGCATATCTTGAGGAAAGTAAAGAGATGGAAAACAAAGCAGATCGGAGGAGCAAGCGCAAGCAGCGGGAGATGCATGGAAGAGAGGGAAAGAAAATGGTGGTACTATGTGGCATGCAGTTTGCTGTACGGAGTACATTGGCAGGTCACTCAAAGAGTTGTACATGCATGAAGGAACCCATCCATGCCCTTGGCCTCATGCCTGGAATACCCCATGCATGCACGGCATACGGCTAACTGGGTGAGTAATTGAGGATGCCTGTTCCTAGTCTAGCCGTATAAGCTAGATGAACCGTCGACTGGCCACTGCCAGGCCAGGCGTGGGCGAGGATCTGGCTCTCCTGACATCTGTGGAACGGCGTTCTTCAGGAAGATCGCAACCTTGAAGGCCCTGTCTAGTGCAGTTCAGGATTGTACAGTACTTTGGCAGTCCCGAGAGAGTGATTATCGGCAGACGGATGGCTCTTCCGGCAACCAGGATAACAGACTTAACCGCTTTGATAAGGGTAAGCGGGAGAGGGGAGAGAGGTCTGGTCTTGTTAAGTAGATTGCAACCTGCAGACTTCGAGGTCGGACAGGGTGGCAACGGGATAAAGAAGATCAAGGAGAAAAGGGGAGTAAAGTCGAGCGAATGCTCTGGAGTAAGGCAGCCATCTAGCTATCCACACGTCTCAGGGGGCAAAGTTGGACAGGCAGCGCCGTCGAGCTGGTTGCTAACGAGTGTCACGGAGGTAGTTATCTTTTCACTGATCTAACCGGTCAGACAGTCAATCAATCAGTCAATCAGTCAATCAATCAACCAGGCTGGGTAACTAAGTTGAGTTGCTAAATAAATAAATCTGCAAGATGAAGGTTCGAAGTAGTTACTATTACATTATTAAAAAAGGGTAACTAAGTTAAACAAGGCTCGCCCTCCCAGCCACATTAGTTACACACGGACATGCATGATGCTGTGTTGCGATTTCATGCATGGTAACGCTGCAATGGTTGATTCGATACATACGGTCTAGCTGGCCAACCTAACTAGTTCGCTGGAGTCAAATACATCAGAAAGCAATTTTAATATTAGGGTCAAGTATATACAGCAGTACGCTGTGTACCTGTGTGACGCGAGCTATAAGACGAGTGGAATATACAGAGCACGGTAACGGTTGGACTGTGAGAGCTCCAACAACGATAGGCGGTGCTCCTGACTGGCTTGCTGGCTCAGGGGAGAGGATCGAGAAGGGAAAAACCGGGATAAAAGCTTGGATGATCGACTCGATGTGTTAGAAACCGATCGGCCGTTGGTTATAACTGCCATCTCTATAGCCCGGAGGGTGCTGACGGGGGAGCACTGGGCCATGTAACCCGGTGCCGGTGCCAGTGCCAGTGCCAGTGTCCTGTCTGGGCGTCTGGATGTCTGGATGTCTGCCCAAGCCAGCCGCTGCATTGTCAGGAGTTGTCTAGCATCTAGCCTTCCGTCTGTCTGCCTGTCTCTGTTCTGTCTGGGCTGTCCCATCAATCTCAGGATTGGCGCCCTTGACTGGGCTTGTCTCGACTGACAATGCCGGAACCAGCTGCTATTCGTCCGCCAGTCCGCATCACATTAAATTAATTACTTTTAAACTAACTAGCAGTTACATATTTTCCGATGGGGCCCTGAAATCTGAGGCTGAGAACGTAAAAAAGGCGTAGGGGGGGAGAAGGAATGTTTCAAACCGACCATCCTCGATGACTGGCCAGTTTGGCTGGTTGGTTGGCTGGCTGGCTGGTGTCTGGATAGGGCTGACGGCTGACGATGGCCCCAGGAAAAGAAAAACAGAGACTATCTGGCCTGGGTATGAGACATGCGAAGGAAGAGGAAAGCGGTGCCAGTGGCTGAGATGACGACGCCGGCCTGTTTACTCATTTCATTGTTGTTATGTTGTTATTATTGAGATGCTGTGCTGGCATCTTCCACCTCATCTCATTTCAGGTCGAGAGGAGGCGCTCTGGGGAGATGATTCGCGGACGCTGGCTGATTGCGGTGGAGACGGGGGATGGAAGATGATATACGGAGTACGGGTCTCTCAATTTCCAGCTGGCATAAGAATACCTAACAGCAGAGAAGGAAGAGGAAGAGGAAGGGGGAAGAGATTGAAAGCTGCCGCCCAAGCCGATATCAAATGGCTATCAATACATTCCCGTCATAAGTACGGAGTATGCCAATGCTAATGCTGATAATGGATTCCCCTGAAGAAGCCGAACTGAATAAGGTAGCAAGCTAGCTACGAAGCAGGACGGAGGAGCTATGGGGGTATATCTGAGATATATTATGCTCTATTTTATTATTATTATTATTATTTACTTATTATTTTATTTTTATTCAATAACAACTTATTTAATTATGATGAGTATAGGAGTTTCTTTTTCCGCTCGATATCACCAGACGCCAGTGCAGCACAGCATCAAGACGCCCCAAAAGGGTAAAAAAGGGGGTCAACATCAAGGTCAGGCCGGGACCAGGGGGTTGGACTCCACCGACCAGCGCTACAGTAACTCAGTTACTGTGTTGTGTACTCCGTATGGATGAGCACTACTGTCAGTCTGCAGGCCAGTCTGCTCGTTCTTCTCTGCATGCACTTACCTTACATACACTACTGCAGCACCCTCTCTCTGCATGCGCAGGATCCCTCCGTAGCAGCGAGGGAAGAAACAATGAGAGAATTGCTTTTTGGCACGGAGACCCCCCCAATCCCATCCCATCCCATCCTATCCCCCCTTCCCCCCCCCATTCTCCATCCCCATGCAGGCGAAATACGACGGGTAAGTCAACTAACTCAAGAGGCGTGCAGTGAGTTTGGTTAGGGTGGCTGGGGGGGTGGTCGAGGTACCGCCTCCAAGCATACAGTACTAGGGGAGGGTTTAGAGTACGGGACGAGAAGAAGAGACTATGACGATGCCGTGGAGACGGTCGCTGCCGACAGATCATGAGACAAGACAGGCCCTTTTTTTCTTTTTGTCTTTTCTCTTTTGCCTTTGTATCTGTATGTATGTATATGTAAGTACGTACTCCGTAAATGGAGCTGGATGTCCTTGGAAGATAGCGAGACAAGAAAGCAAAAGAGCAAAAGAGAATGCAAGTATCCGTCCATCCCTGAGCGGCGCCGGGGAAGGCGAGAGGGGGCCATGGACGAGTCGAGAGAGAGTGCTCGGGCGCATGACAGCAGCAGCTAACGCTCTCTTTACTTCTGCCAGCATGCTGCTATGTATCGTCGTCGACTCCAGGATCAGGCTGGGATGCTGGGATGCTGGGATGCGGCCAGGGCCTGTTGACAGGGACAGATCGCATCTTCAGATCCATAGTCCTACCGTCTTTTCTTTTACCCTTTTACCCAGTATCCCTTCTTCTCTTCTTCTTCTTTTCTTCTCTTTCTTTCATCTTCTCTTCTATCCTCTCTTCTATCCTCTCTTCTATCGCCTCTTCTGTTCCATCTGATATCGTATTTTATCTGGTACTGGCTGTGTATCGCTGCCTCTAAAGTTACCTGCCAAGCCTGTTCCTGGGGAGACGCCAGCTGTGCCTGAGCTAGTCCCCTTCTGGCCACCCTCGAGTCCCACCAGCCAGTAAGACGCAAGAGCCCTGCCAAGCCCGCCTCCCAGTGGCCCCATCCTGGCCCCACTCCACCCCTTCCAGCCACTCAGCGTCCTCCATGTGGGCCCTCCCCTTACCGTACCTGACCACCCAAAAGTCCCCTAAAAAGTCCCCGTCAAAAACTGGTTCGTCGCTTTTTCTGTCTTTTTTCTGTCTTTTTTTTGCTCTTTTTGCTTTTTTCTGCCGCTTTTTCTTCTTTCTCTTCCGCCTTTTTTTTTTTTTTTTCTTTTTCTGGTCTTCAACTTCGATCTCCAACCTTTCAATCTTCAACAACTTCTCTTCTTCTTCTTCTTCCTCCTCCTCTCTCCTCTTCTTCTCTCCCTCTTCCCCTTCAACCTAATCCTCCGCCGCCTCTCCTCCTCCTCCTCCTCCGCCGCTGCGGCTCTCGCTGGCTACAGCTCGCTGTGGCCGTCCGTTCCTTACATCCTTGCACGGAGACGTGCGCCTTTGTCTATCTCTCTCTCTCTCTTCTCTGTCTCTATCGCTGTGGCCTGGCGTTCGTCCGTCGGCGACTACTCCTCCTAACGAACCACCTCAGCAAAACCTACCAACACTTTCTAACGACCTCCTCCTAAACCATCATCAACATCGTCTTCATCATCATTATTCCTTGTGGCGTCCTTAAAAAAACGAGATATATCTTTTTTTGGGGCTGTCTCTGGAGATCTCCGTACGATGACTTCGGCGTGTTGATAGGAAACACACACAGAACTGGAAGCAGAGCCGGGGAAAAGGAGCCGCTTTTTTATCAGTCATTTGCTTGATCTGGCAAAGCCCAGCCTCTCTCCATATATGAAGCCGAAGGACTTGGTTGGAATGAGCAAGTAGAGAGACCGAAGAGGCTCTCTGGCTCGTCACTTTATTCTTCCTTCTCTTCCCTCTTCTTCGTGGAATTCTTACATTTCCTCTTTCGTTCGTTTTCTACTCTCTCTCGCTCTCTCGCTCTCTCTCTCTTTCTCTCGTTTTATTCTATAGCCATGACATCGATTTCTCTCGGGGCTCACCAGCCTTCTTCTCACTGGAACACTGCCAGTCACATCCACCTGCACTCCCCGGAGTCTCCCAGTTACGACACTCGCATGAATCCCCCTTCTTCGCCCCTCCCGAACCCGCCTTTCTCCTTCCCGGCTCAAGCGCCTTCTTCGACAGACACCAGCAGAGTTCCCAGCGGAATACCCAGCAACAACATGTCGAGCAGCTCGCGGCGCGGCAGACGGCAACCGCCTGCTTCTCTCCCTTCGTTCTCTTTCCCCCAGGCACCGCCTGAGTCTGTCTCTTCTACATCACCAACTACGGCAGCAGCAGTAGCAGCAGCAGGTAGTGCCCCTACAACAAAAACAATACCTACTGCTCCAGCTTCGCCTGTGCTGGTGGAACCCGCTCACCTCAATGCAAAGGGACACCGCCGTCAACCAAGTGAATTCCTTGGTGATGCTTCATCCCAGGTAGCCATCAGTAGTTCCAAGGCTACGGCTTCAACACTCCCACATCCAGGTCCCGGACTTACCACTGGTCCCGGTAGAGGTGCCCGGAGACACGCCCACAGGAGGTCCCAGGCCATCTCGAGCGTGGACCTGACCGTTGTAGCCAAGGCATTCCCGCCAGTACCGGTCTCTGGAAGTGTCCCAACTTCGCCCATCTTACCCTTTGCCAATGACAAGAACTCAAAGCTTTCCTCGCGGTCGTTTCCAGAAATGCACACTGCTCAGACCTCCCCGCAGAGGGTCGAACAGCAGCACCAGCAAAAACTGCAAGTATCTCCAACAAGACGTCCCTACAAGGAGGAGTCGATAACTACTGCTACCACTGCTACTACTACTACTGCTTCAGAAGTAGCTCCAGTGTCTTGCCGTCCTCTTTCGACAATATCCTCTGAGAGTAGCGTGTCTACCGTGCGTCCCAACCAGATCTTCTCAGACCGTTCTGGTTCTGGACAAAGAAGTGGCGCCAGTTCTCCCCTTCATAACAGCAATGAATCTACAGCCAGACCAAAGACCGCGGGTGCCCAGTTGGCCATGAAATGGAAGCCCTTTGGCCCTTCAAGTGATAACAATGAACACACCAAACGGCCACTCTCAGCCTCCGCTTCAATGGCCCTGAACTTCAGCCTAGGAAACGTCTGCAGAAGCCAGGACGCTGAAAGGACTGCCTCCAACTCTTCGTCTTCTACTACTAACGCGCAAGCTGCTACACCCTCAGACCAGGATATGGAAGACGCCGAGACCTCCACCTTGACTCAACGAACAGCGCACGAGCGCAAGCCGTCCAAGAAACAAAAGAAAAAGCGCTCCTGGGCCGGCATCCTCATCCGCAAGGGGAAGAAACGCTCCTCAAAGAAGTCCCGCAAATCCCCGACGCCTCCACCCATGCTTACACGGACCAACTCTGAGCTCGGATCCATGTACAGCGTTGACTTTGACCATGATAACACTATTGTCATCCGGACTCCCACGGCCCAGAACGCTCCAAGAAGCCACCCCCAATCCGGCGAACCGGCTTCTTCCACGGACAACAGCTTGGAAAAAGCTTGGACACCAAAGAGCTTCTACGAACAGCAGAGTAACCCTGACATCTTCAGCCCCGTAATCGATCTGGACGCCGCTCTAGGCCCATTCAATACCCCCGAAATGGGGCCCGAGCGGAACATTACCAGTGGTTTCATGATCGCCTCCAAGAGGATGTACAGTGGTGGCCGTCGAGGTGAATTCGTGGGCCCAGAGATGCGGTACCACAGACGTGCGGAGAGTGCGCCGGAGATGCCTCCATTTGACCGCAGTTTCCTAGGTGCTTCTAGGTTTGGACTGTCGACTGCAATGGAAAACCCGGACGTGTTTGACGAAGAAGAGGAAGACGCGTTTTTGGCCCAGAATGACGACCAGGCTAATCAGAAGAACGCCGAATCGTTCGAGGCCGACGATGACGCAGCTGAGAACGACTCATCCTCCTCCGGTGAAGAAGAAGAAGAAGACGAAGAGGATAGTGATGTTGAGGAGGCTGGCCTGGGTATCCAGGTAGTCGACTCCAGCAACTTGCCCGACCTCTACCCAGCTTCCGTCGAGAGCCGTCCCAGCACTGCCCAGGTTATCACCCCACGTACACCTTACGCCCATGCAATTGATTTCGAGTCTCAGTCCCAACGGAGCAACAGCAACAGCACTACCTACCACCACCCGGGAAGTATCGGTATCGTGGGCTCTGATTCTGGCCAGGCGTCTCCTCGCAACTTTGACGAAAAGCGTCCCTCTACCTCCCCCGAATTCATCTACAACATCTCTAATGCTACGAACCTCACCCCTATCCCTGCAATAATACCACCAGTGCCTATGATCCCACAGGCATTTCCCTCACCCGCCCCCTCAAGCACCTCCTTTGACGTCCCCCGCCTAAACACCGCCTCCTCCTCCATGACAGACCGTCATCACAGCTCTGGATCCGTTTACTCAGGCGAGCCGGGCTCAGACTACCTCCAAAACTCCTCCGAGGATGTCCCGTCACTAACCAGCTCTGCGTCGACAATGACCGGAAACATCCCCAGACTACCCAGCGCAATCTACGGACGCATCCCAGGCGATCGAGCCGCCTCGTTCTCCCACGTCCTACAACTCAACAGCGCCGCCAACAGCGCCGGCAGCAATGGTCACAGTAACAACAACCGGCCTAGTTCATCGAAACGTTCCAGTCTAGTTAGCTTCTCGCGTCTGGTCGGTGCCAACTCTGAGCGCAGCAAGCTCAGCCACGAGGAGAAAGCACCCACGGACGAGTCTGAAAAGCGCAAGAAAAAGGGTCTCCGGATCACCCGTCTAATGCAGTTCTGGAAAGTCAAGGACAAACGATAAGATATCCACTTATACCTGTCTACTTCTCCCTACCTTCATATCTCTTCCCTACCTTTACGAGTTTCCCATCTATCTATCTATCTCGGTTTCGCGGTTCCTTTTGCTGGATTTATCTATGTTTAATTTCCAACCCTTAGAACCTTCTCCGTTTCTGTTTTTGTCTGATTTCATTTTTATTTTTCATTTTTTCTCATTTTCACTTTGTTCGGAGTACATATGGGAGGCACGATATCACGGATGGAACTATTGACTTATGGAGAATTGTTTTGCTTGTTTTTTTTTTCTTTTCCTTATTACTACTATCTGGCTTTTTCTTTCCAGCCGAGTTCGTGTTCGAGTCTCATCGCACGCCTCCGTCTTCATATTATTCATTACACCAGAGCAAGTTTAGTTCAGCTACTTTTTTGTCTTCTTTCTAAACAAAACTCGCAGGCAAGTCATACAAGTTCAGTCTATTTACTTGTTCAGTTCTTTCTTCTTCCATGCTTTCGTTAAGATCTTCATTATTTGCTTCTACGACCCAGCCAGGCCTCTCCTTGAACGTCACATACTTACTACACTATGCCCTAAAGACCTCATCTCCTCTCCTTTCATTTGCTTTGCTTTGCTTCATGCGAATCCATCCACTCCATCTATCCCTCGTTCCCTTCCTTGACCTCCCATACCCTCATTGGCTCTCATGTTCCTTATCACCGACGCAGCATTCAGGCATCCATGCACACTAGCACTGCCGCTCTGTCTTCCGCTCCCTATCATCATACATCAAACATCATCTCATCCATGTCTAGCTCATCTTCATTCCCTTTCGGCCTCTTAACGACATTTTCATTTCATCTTACCTCTTCTAGCCTCTCTTTAGTTAGCCAGTCAGCCAGCCAGTCGGCCAGCAACAGCAATTGCCGACACAGGTTTCTTCTTCTTTCTCATTTACCTTAAAATGAATATTACACGGAGATCATATCATGCCATTCCTTTTTTTTTCCTTACATCCGGCTCCAGCTTAGCAGTGGACTCCAGCCAAGGCTAGCCCAGGCTCTTGCAAATAGTTCATACTCAAATGCTGCTGGATCCTTGCTCAGGTAACACAGTCATCTGAACGGCTGTTTGAATCCCCTCGCTTAATGCCTAGTATCTCTTCCGATCAGTCCTCTTTCATTCGTTTGGTGGGGAAAGTCTCTACTTCACTTTATCTTGTGTGTATCACGGTAGAAAGGACCGGGGAGCCTGGAGGTTGATCGAGAAGAGATTGAAATCTATGTAGATAGCTGCTAGGTACGAAATCTCCACACAGCAAGTGTACCTGTCTATTTTTCCCTCCTTGTTTACGGAGTATGCCTAGCACTTATTAGGTTGTAGCCACAGCCGGGTATAATGGCCGCAAGTATGAAGTTTATCTCTATTTACACTTCTGCACTATATTCACCTTAATTATAGAGTAATTATTTACTTAGTCCAGAAAGACGACCTCAGGGTACTTCGAGCTTGGCCCCCTGAGAAGCCCTTCATCTTTCCCGAAGAGCGAAAACTGGAAGAAGTCGTGAACATATGCCTTGATGAACTCCAAGCTTCTAGCCGCAGGAATATCCCCTACCAGCACGTCGATGCTAGCCTTGTCAATAACATCCCTTACTCCGCCTGCGTCAATAATGGCTGGGAAATCACTAAAGGTATTATGTCGTCCTTCCGGAATGCCAAGTTCCTTCTTCCATGCATGCGGGTGAAGCCTCTCCATGGCCTTCCAAAGCGTCTCCCAGGATGTATCGTTGTG